ATCTATCTATCTATCTATCTATCTATCTATCCATTAATGGCTCAACAGCCCTCTGTTGAACGTTGGCCGCTTTTTTTTAGTTCCTTTATCCTTTACACAGTCAGTAGGACTCCGTGGACGGGGGATCAGCCAGTCGCAAGACCGCTACCTGCATGCAAGACAGAACAAACATAGAATATACGCACACATCCATACCTTCAAGTGAATTCTAACCCACGACCCCAGTGTTCGAGCGAACGAAGACAGTTCATGCCTTAGACAGCGCGGCCACTGTGTTCGGCGGTGCGACATATCAGCTAGCGAAATTATTAACGTTATTATGCACACTGCCATGAGTGAAGACCAGTAAGGGCTAAGGATAATTTTGTATATAACTGGTGAGTCATGAATTTGAGGGAAGACCCAAATCGTGCATTACTGGAAGTTACTGTTCAGTATTCTCTTAGACGTACCCTAGATAACCTCTAGACTAAATAGTTTGTCACTGCACGTCTCATGAATGAGAAGTCTCCTTGTTTAAATACTTATTCAATTTAAAGATTACTTATTATAACAATTTAAGCGAGCTCAGTATTTGGTGGAAAGAGGCGTGCGCTCGTACAGGTCTGTAAAATTATTAGCTTCAGTCTTACGTGTTGAGCACTGCCACGATAATTTTGAGAGGTATTATTTAGTGTTTTATGTTACGATTCGCTGTGATAATTGATCACGTAATATTATATAGGGTCTGTTTGCTCATAACGTAAATGTAATTGTTGCAGGTGTATCTTATTGTGGCTGTGATCCTGGTCTGCACGACTGCAAGTCCCATAAGGGTATACTCCGGCACTAGGATGTTACCCATCAGGCCTCCCACACCTACACCTAGATATGAGGTCCCATTTCCGCCGATACCTCCTGCTCCAGTGTACGAGGACTCGGAACCAGAAAACTCAGTCTACACATTTCCGTTTAAGTTTGGGTACCGATTGAAACCCCTTAAATCCCACGTAAGTACACAGGAGGCTCAGTATCGACGAGAACTTCTCGCTTAACTGCACGTAAGTACACAAGAAGGGCAGTATCGACGAGAACTTCTCGTTTAACTGCACGTAAGTACACAAGAGCCGCAGTATCGACGAGAACTTCTCGTTTAACTGCACGTAAGTACACAAGAGCCGCAGTATCGACGAGAACTTCTCGTTTAACTGCACGTAAGTACACAAGAGACTCAGTATCGACGAGAACTTCTTAAATCCCACATAAGTACACAAGAGGCTCAGTATCGACGAGAACTTCTCGTTTAACCGCACGTAAGTGCACAAGAAGCGCAGTATCGGCGAGAACTTCTTAAATCCCACGTAAGTATACAAGAGGCACAGTATCGACGAGAACTTCTCGTTTAACCGCACGTAAGCAGACAAGAGGCTCAGTATCGACGAGAACTTCTTAAATCCCACGTAAGTACACAAGAGGCTCAGTATCGACGAGAACTTCTCATTAGGCTCAGTATCGACGAGAACATCTTATTATATCGCATATAAGTAAATTCTGATGCTTTTATCTGAAACTCCTTTCGATATACTCGTACAAGATATTTAGCAAGTATCAGGAAAATATGTAATTTCAGACTCTATAAAGTGAACTGTCTTTACAACAGCTTATTACAGCCTAAACTGATTTCCGTAATTAATTTCATTCGTATTCTCTCCCGATTTCAATTGTACTACTTTTCAGTCGCTCAAGTGACTGGTTACAGCCTGGATGTTTTCGATTCAATTTCCGACAGAAACAGAAATATATAGATGAGTTCTAACATCTCACCCAGCTCTCTATGCAATAGTTAAGTATATCGCTCTCCCAGGAATAAAGCGAAAGCCAATACCTAGGTTAAGAGCTCCTGTGGCTACATATCTAACCGATGCGTCTTCTGGTGTGATATTTTAACGTTTACATGAAAAAAACGTAGTGAAGATACACTTAGAAGATCTGAACGTAGATGTGAGAAGAATAATCAATTGGGTGTTAAATAAATAGGACGAGGGAAATGGGCTGGATTTATCTGGCTCAGTATTGTCATCAGTGTTAAGCTCTTGTGGATAAAGTAAAGAAATTTTTCGTTTCATAAAAGGGAATACTTTCTTGACTAGACAAGCAACTGTATATCCCCAGAGAAGATTCTGCTCCACGGAGTAGTCTGTTTGTTTGTTTGCTTTTAGTAAATTAGGCAGTGAGTCAATCAGTTGCAAGAAGTGCAAGTAAATTATTGTGATAGGAAGCTAATTTCAACATCAAGCAGTATCTACGCTCTAGATGACAACGCCAGTGAGAAATAAGTGACAGTTTCCTTACAGGAATATACCTGCTCAAATTTATTGTAAAAACAGTAACAATCGGAAGTGTGACGTCATTATCCTGCGAATCATGAAATTTGAAAAGAAGTGTTCTTCAAAAATGACAATATATATATTAAAGAGATGTAATTGGCAGCAACCATAGATAACGTAAGACAATATAATACATTAAGAGGTTGAGAAAACTAGTGGGACACTCTCGAGATGGTAATTTTTCCAGCAAAATTTGTTTCGGATTTAGAGAACTTGGCGATATGGAGTCATTTAATAAAATGTAAATGTAAATTAAAAAGGTGTTTGAAACTGCAACGAACTGGCGGTAAATCTTATTCACACGAGAGTGGAAAACTCTCTTTTAAGTTACATTTTCAATTTGTTTTTTTTACACACGTTCACTGACATTTTTATAATTATAAAATTAACATGTGACATACTTATGGTTACGTAATCCTTCATATTTTCTCTATCACTTTGAAGGATAGTACTGTATTCAAAGCATGAAAAATTATAAAGAAAGCAGTCTTCTGGGATTTGGCACCGTGTATATGTGGTGTTAACCGACGTTTCGGAGGAACGTATCGCCTCCATCGTCGGTTAACACCACATATACACGGTGCCAAATCCCAGAAGACTGCTTTCTTTATAATTTTTCATGCTTTGAATACAGTACTATCCTTCAAAGTGATAGAGAAAATATGAAGGATTACGTAACCATAAGTATGTCACATGTTAATTTTATAATTATAAAAATGTCAGTGAACGTGTGTAAAAAAAACAAATTGAAAATGTAACTTAAAAGAGAGTTTTCCACTCTCGTGTGAATAAGATTTACCGCCAGTTCGTTGCAGTTTCAAACACCTTTTTAATTTACATTTACATTTTATTAAATGACTCCATATCGCCAAGTTCTCTAAATCCGAAACAAATTTTGCTGGAAAAATTACCATCTCGAGAGTGTCCCACTAGTTTTCTCAACCTCTTAATGTATTATATTGTCTTACGTTATCTATGGTTGCTGCCAATTACATCTCTTTAATATATATATTGTCATTTTTGAAGAACACTTCTTTTCAAATTTCATGATTCGCAGGATAATGACGTCACACTTCCGATTGTTACTGTTTTTACAATAAATTTGAGCAGGTATATTCCTGTAAGGAAACTGTCACTTATTTCTCACTGGCGTTGTCATCTAGAGCGTAGATACTGCTTGATGTTGAAATTAGCTTCCTATCACAATAATTTACTTGCACTTCTTGCAACTGATTGACTCACTGCCTAATTTACTAAAAGCAAACAAACAAACAGACTACTCCGTGGAGCAGAATCTTCTCTGGGGATATACAGTTGCTTGTCTAGTCAAGAAAGTATTCCCTTTTATGAAACGAAAAATTTCTTTACTTTATCCACAAGAGCTTAACACTGATGACAATACTGAGCCAGATAAATCCAGCCCATTTCCCTCGTCCTATTTATTTAACACCCAATTGATTATTCTTCTCACATCTACGTTCAGATCTTCTAAGTGTATCTTCACTACGTTTTTTTCATGTAAACGTTAAAATATCACACCAGAAGACGCATCGGTTAGATATGTAGCCACAGGAGCTCTTAACCTAGGTA